AGCCTCTTCCACGAGAAAAACATGATCAGCACCAAGACTCCATGGGTGTTAGAATCATTACAATGCAATCTCTAGTGCAAGTGGGAGACTGAAGGAAATATGCCCTAGAGGCAATAATAAAGTTGTTATTTTATACTTCCTTATTCATGATAAATGTTTATTGTTCATGCTAGAATTGTATTAACCGGAAACTTGATACATGTGTGGATACATAGACAAAATAATGTGTCCCTAGTAAGCCTCTACTAGACTAGCTCGTTAATCAAAGATGGTTAAGTTTCCTAAGCATAGACATGTGTTGTCATTTGATAACGGGATCACATCATTAGGAGAATGATGTGATGGACAAGACTCATCCGTTAGCTTAGCATAATGATCGTTCAGTTTATTGCTATTGCTTTCATCATGTCAAATACATATTCCTTCGACTATGAGATTATGCAACTCCCGGATACCGGAGGAATACCTTGTGTGCTAACAAACGTCACACCGTAACTAGGTGATTATAAAGATGCTCTACAGGTATCTCCGAAGATGTTTGTTGGGTTGGCATAGATCGAGATTAGGATTTGTCACTCCGAGTATCAGAGAGGTATCTCTGGGCACTCTCGGTAATGCACATCATAAGAATCCTTGCAAGCAAAGTGACTAATGAGTTAGTTGTAGGATGATGCATTACGGAACGTCTAAAGAGACTTACCGGTAACGAGATTGAACTAGGTATAAAGATACCAACGATCGAATCCCGGGCAAGTAACATACCGATAGACAAAGGAAACTACGTATGTTGTCATAAATGCTCAACCGATAAAGATCTTCATGGAATATGTAGGAATCAATATGGGAATCCAGGTCCCGCTATTGGTTATTGGCCGGAGAGGTGTCTCGGTCATGACTACATGATTCCCGAACCCGCAGGGTCGCACGCTTAACGTTCGTTGACGCTAGAGTAGTATTGGGATCTTTGATGAGTGGTAACCAAATGTTGTTCGTAGTCTCGGATGAGATCCCGGACGTCACAAGGAGTCTCGGAATGGTCGAGAGGTAAAGATTTATATATAGGAAGTCATATTTTGGGTTCCGAAAAAAGGTGCAGTTTTTCGGTATTGTACCGGGAAGCTTCTAGAAGGTTCCAGAGGATTCCGGAGGGTTCCGGAAGTCCATAAGTGGGTTCACCACGATCCAAGGGCTAGCATGGCTGTGGGGAGGTGCCCTAGCCTTATTGGGCTAGGCACACCAAGTCCTCAAAAGCCCATGTGGCTAGGGAAAAGGAGAAAAAAGAAAGGAGTCCTAGTAGGAATAGGATTGGAGTTGGATTCCAAGTCCTCCTTCCCCTTGGCTGCACCTTGGACTTTGGAGGGGCTGTTGCCACGCCCCTCCACCTATATATAGAAGGGAGGGGGCTCCCCAAGAGGACACACAAAGCCCTTGGCGCCCCTCTCTCTCCCGTTACTCCGTAGTTCCACCGCCTCGTCCGGGCGGCGCTTAGCGAAGCGCTGTCGGTGCTCCACCACCACCATCCACCACGCGTCGTGTTGGTTGTCATCCCATCTACTTCTCCTCTCCTGCTTGCTGGATCAAGAAGGAGGAGACGTCATCGAGCCGCACGTGTGCTAAACTCGGAGGTGTCGTCCGTTCGGTACTAGATAGGTTGGATCGTGATTGGGTCGCGAAGAGTACGACTATGTCAAACGCGTTATATACGCTTCCGCTTAGTGATCTACAAGGGTATGTAGATGCTCTCCCCCTCTCATTGCTATGCATCTCCTAAATAGATCTTGCGTGTGCATACAATTTTTTTGTTTTTCATGCAATGTTCCCCAACAGATGGTTTGTCTGAGTTTCTCAAACAGGTGGTGAGATCAAATGCTATTGAACCATTGAAAATATGTCGGGCTGCTCCGGGGGTCTCGTACTTGTTATTCACTGATGATACACTACTCTTTTTCAAGGCAAACCAACAGCAGGCTGTGGCAGTCAAGGAGATTATTCATGTGTACGAGAAAGCCACCGGACAGTTCATAAACCCATCCAAATGTTCCATTCTGTTTGGACAGTCATGCCCGAATAATGCCCATGAAATTGTGAAATAAGAGCTACAGATTATGAAAGATGAATTTGAGGACAAATACTTGGGACTTCCCACTCCAGAAGGTCATACCCATAAAGGCAAGTTCCAAAATTTGCAAGAGAAGTTGATGAAACAGATCTATATATGGGGAGATGGCTACATGGCCCAAGCTGGGAGAGAGGTATTGGTCAAGGCGGTGCGCAATCCATCCCTACGTACATCATGGGAGTATTTAAACTGTCGTTCTCGGTATGCGATGATCTTACTTGGATGGTCAGGAATTATTGGTGGGGTGCAGAGAAAGGTAAACGGAAAACCAATTGGATGGCTTGGGATCACATCATCAAACCCAAAGCGATGGGTGGTCTGGGGTTCCAGGATTACAGGCTATTCAATCAGGCGCTTTTGGCACGACAGGCATGGCGACTACTCATCAAACCGGACAACTTATGTGCAAGTGTTTTGAAAGCTAATTGTTATCCTAATGGGTGGTTGGAGGATACTGTTTTTGTAGGTAACGCGTCCTCTACTTGGCAGGCCGTAACATATGGCTTGGAGCTCCTCAAGAGAGGGCTTGTATGGCGGATCGGCGACGGACAAAATGTTCGTATCTGGCGTGACCCTTGGCTCGACCGACCAACGTCATACCGGCCCATATCACAGGCTGCAAGATGCCGGCTTCGCCGGGTGGCAGAACTAATTGATGATCATGGTGCATGGAACACAGTGCTACTTCAACAACACTTCTTGCCACTTGACATCGATGAAATACTAAAATTGCGTCCCTCACCATGGATGCATGATGTCTTGGCCTGGGGTCCGGACCCAAAAGGCATCTTCTCCGTCAAGTCGGCCTACATCATTGGGTTGGAGGATAAATTTCGCACGTCTTCATGGGCCGCGAGCAAGGCACCGGACGGTAATTGTGCTATCTGGAAGAAATTGTGGAGGTGCCCTTCTCACCTAAGGTACGCGTCTTCGGTTGGCGCATTGTGACCAACTCATTTCCTACGATGGAGAATAAGCATAAGAGGACTTTGGAAAAATCTGATGTGTGTCCTATGTGGCGTTGAGCGGGAGGACTCCTTCCATGTTGTTTGCGGGTGCCCCATGGCGTGTGCTCTATGGGAGGCCATGAGGGAGTCATGGCCACTCCCGGACCTGGCGACAGTCACGAACACAGGCAAAGAATAGCTACTTCACTTCTTGGACAACTGCACTGAGTTGCAGCGGCTGGTCATGCTCATGACCTTTTGGCAAGCGTGGCATTGTAGGAACGATGTCACACATTACAAGCCGGCGCCACCTATTGAAAGTTCATGGAGGTTTCTGAACAGCTACGTTGAGTCCCTACTATGCATCAAGCAACATCCACAAAGAGATTTGGTGAAAGGCAAGATGGTGATACAGAGTATACAACATGGGGTCAAGCAAATAGTAGCATCACCAAGAGGTACATCAGCTGATACAACTTGGGAGAAACCTCCGGTGGGATGGGCGAAACTGAACGTGGATAGTTCATACGTCCATGGCGAGAATACAGGAGGTGCGAGCATGGTACTAAGGGACGACATTGGGGCCATCATTTTCTCATTCGTGTCGCTTCCTTTGACCGTGTCGCTCGCCGATGGAGGCGGAAATGGCAGCGTGTCTGGAGGGCACGTCTCTGGCGCTGGAGCGAACGGAGAAGCCCCTTATTGTTGAGTTAGATTGCAAGGAGGGAGTGGATGCCCTGACAGATAGCAGCGTCAACAGATCTTCACTGGCAAGTTGGATGGAGGAGACGAAGAGGGTCCTGCATGGGATCCGGAGGCATAATTTTGTCCACGTGCGGAGATCAGCCAACAGTGCTGCGCACTGTCTAGCTCATAGGGGACGTGCCACCCAGCTTACGATGGTTTGGCTAGGCTCCAGGCCTGATGATCTTTGTCATATTTGTGAAAACGAGTGTAACAATATTTCTTAATTAATACAATCTCGTTTCACCCGCAAAAAAAATGACAAAAAAATCCTTGTTTTAAAAAAATCAAGCCTATTAATTTCGATTTGATGAATGTTGCCATTGATATTTGCCAGTCGAATAACCGATATGGCAGATGGGGCATCGGCATCAACCGGCCCTTAGTTGAACAATCACAGATAACCGGCAGATGGTTAGCTGTCATAGACTCATAGTCCAGCCATCTCTTCTTCCTTTTTCTTTATCTTCATCAAAACATAATAGTGGTGAAGTCAGATACGCCACCTGGAGTCATACCGATTGGCCTATCAACAGAAAGCACTTGGTCACTCACAAGAACTGGCAATCATTTGGTAGTACATGTTATGTTAGTTATACTCCTAAGGATATTGTATATAATCAGGACATGCACTAAAAGATGGATTACTGTATAATCAGACAAGTACAACTGCTGGTCAAGCCTGTGCTGATGCCGACCTTCGTTCATTCGTCTCTAATTTTATTTTTCTTCTTGGTTACACGCATCATAGATGAACACTATAGTTATACGTGTGATGAATTGAAGAATAATAGGGAGCTGGCCGGCTGGAGCGCATCGGGTGCGGTGACAGGACGCCGCAACAGAAACGGAGATCGGTCTTCATCACCATTCATCAGTCTCACTTGCCCACGAGATGGACGAAAAAGCAACCGCCTCGCTGCCGACACTGATGGTACCGCGCCAGCATACCACGAAAATATATGCTTCCCCTCCCCACCACTCCATCAGTGCGTGCTCTAGTCTAGCTATAAAGTTCCCAGCTCCCAACTCCCGAAAGATATATGCGCAGCTAGCCAGCCCACGGCGCACTGTCGGCCGTCACAAGAGCATCTCTCCGGCCGCAACAGCTGGGCGGGCAACGACGGGTCGACGGCCGTAGCTTCTTCTCATCAGTTCTCTTACGGCCACTCGAGTCGCGCGCGCGCGCGATGCTGCAGCTTTGCAGTCGGCGCGTCCTCGTGGTCGCCGTGGCGGTGGCCGTCCTGAGCGCGGCTAACCCGCGCACCGCCGTGGACGCATACAAGAATTACACCGTCGGCGACGACAAGGGCTGGTACGACGGCCTCGCGGTCGACTACCAGGCGTGGGCCGAAGGCTACAACTTCACCCTCGGAGATTTCCTGAGTGAGTATACAATATACTTACAGTTGCATTCTCTAGCTGCATCCATCCATCGCTCTTTGATTACGTTGCATCCGTCCAAGTTCAGTCAGCTTGTGAGACCTCTCTGCTCTTCTCGATGCTTAATTAGCGTGGTATCGAAAGCAGCAGCTACGTTTCTCCATTGGTTTCCCTGTACGTGCACATGGCTTGCTCGTGGGTGAAAAGTGCAACATGCTCCATGTCCCCGGTCGCTTTGTCAATCACCAACAGTTTTGCAAACGACGATGCAGGGCCATTATCAAGGTCCCGTTCGCGTCTCCGTTTCGCGTAAAAATAAACAGACTAACCGTTTGGCGTCTCCGTGATGCAGTATTCAACACGGACAAAAATCACTCGGTGGTGCAGACACGGAACGAGACCCTATACAAGAGCTGCGACTACGACGACTCCGGCCTCGACGACACCGTCGATTGGTCTGCCGCCGCGCCGGAGTTCAGCAAGGATGCCGTCACCGCCGCCGTGCCACTGCTCAAGGAGGGCAACACGTACTTCTTCTCAGGGAACTACGACGGCGAGCAGTGCGAGAACGGCCAGCGCTTTGCCATAGCGGTCGCGCACGGCCAAGGCCTCCCGCCGGACCTCAGGCCGCCGGTGGCCGACGCGCCAGGGCCAGCAGCCGGGCCCGACAGCGCGGACAGGGCGCCGGCCTTCGACTTCAGCCACCCAAAGAACGTCTCCACGCCGTCGGACACCGATGCTTCCGATGACGAGACGAGTACTAGTACTTCGGATTCTACTCTAAATCTAGTCAGCTTGGCGGTTGGCCTGATCGTGGCTCTCAGTGTGCTCTTTGTGGTGCAAGTATAAGATGTACATGGTGCTTTAGCTGCTCGCTCGTTTTGTGTACCTAAATTATAAGATTTGTTATTTTTGCAATTTAATGAAGTTGTTTTTTATGTATATAAATTCACATGGGCACATACCTGTCGAGCCGTGCCAGCTCCCCGATTGCCTCGCGATCCTCAAAGTCTTGAGATCCTGCACGTGGGTATAACACGTTTTAAGAGCATGGTTAATAGTATAGCCGGCTGCTGGCTATATGATGTTGCCATGTCATATAGAGCCATCAGTTGTAGCCACTCATACAATAAGGTTGGCTATAAGACTGGCTATAAGAATACTACTTTTTCTCATCTTCTATCTATCCCTTTTTTTATATTTATTGTATCGGCCTAGGAATCTGCATATAGCTAGCCTCTTGCATGAGAGTCCACTCCTCTCACTTTTTCATGTCTCTTTCCTCCACATCGGCAAAATTGCCATGTAAGCGGGCTATAAGCCTGCTATTTTTATTTTTTTTGAAACGAAGACGCTAGACGCGTCCGGCTTTAAATTAATAAAGCCACAAAGGCAGAATCCAAGTTTGCACATCACACAAACCACATAACAGTCTCAACAGGCCACATCGGCCACGCAAAACACATCAAATAGTTCGCAAGTTAGGTCCCAACCAAATCTAACTCAAAAGCTAGACCCCAAAATGAAGGAAAGAACAGAAGGCGCTTCAATTCGCTTCACGAAGTCTTGGGATACTTGTTGCGATATGTTCCATTGTGCTCCTCATAAGGTCAGCATCACATTGTTTCCCCAGCGGTGCCCAACTCTGTAGAAAAAGATGGCATTTGAAAATAATATCAGTCGGATTAGTCGGGAATTTATGCTCCATAGTCATTTTGTTACGCACTGTCCATAGGGACCAAAGCAATGCACCCACGCAAATCCACAGAACCCTGGCTTTGGCACCCCTCTGCGCCTGTAACACTGCTAACAACTCGTTTCCGGTTCTTGGGTTCCAGTTCTGTTGGAAAACCTGACGCACCGCGCTCCAGGCAAAGCGAGCCAGTGCGCATTGGAACAGAGCATGGTTCGCATCCTCCAGTGATTCACATATCATGCAAGTCCCATCCGAGGGCCGTTGCGTTTAGCTACGTTGTCAGCCGTCGGAAGCCTATTGCGGAACATTTGCCAAAGAAAAATCTTAATCTTTAGCGGCACCCTAGCCTTCCAAAGGCTCCTAGCAATATCTAACGCGGGAACCTCCGTCAGCCTATTGTACATGGACTTCACCGAGAATTTACGAGACGCCAATAGGTCCCAGGAAACTACATCGTCAGCCAGATTCATGGCAGGTTGGCCCACTTGCGCCTGAAGCAAGTCCCAACTTGCTAGTTCCGCCACGTTCAGCTGTCGCGGAAAGTGAATTACTGGCGGCGTCGAGCGCAAAGCCTCTCCCACCATAATAAGCGGGTCCGCGGCTAGTTGGTACAACAGCGGGAACTCCTGCCATAGCGGCCTGTCGCCCAACCACCTATCCAACCAGAACCTATACTACTAGGGAAAAGCCTATACACAGAATCTTACCAGCAGCGCTCTTCAAAATACCACGCTACTGCTACTTAGCAGCAACGCGTGTCTGCCAAACGCGCTACTGACTTGGAAGTAGCAGTAGCGCGTGTGTAGCCTATAGCGCTACTGCTATAGTTGCCATGACCTTGGCCCCCCCGCTAGCTATAGCAGTAGCGCACTTTACTATAGAGCGCTACTGCTACTCAGGTTAGCTGTAGTGCGTTATGGCAAACGTGCTACAACTATCCCTACCTTATCCCCACGCACGACCGGCCCTCTCACTCACACTCTCACTCTCGCCCGCGTCAACCGTCGTCGTCCGTCGCTGCCGCCGCCGCCGCCTTCGTCCGTCCGCCGCCAAGGTACTCCCCTCCTTCCGTCCCTCCTCCATCCTCCTCGCACATCCTCCCTCCGCCTGCGGCCGCCCCTCCCTCCTCCGCCGCCGCCCTCCTCCCTCCGCCTGCGGCCGCCCCTCCTCCCTCCTCCGCCGGCAGCCCTCCTCCCACCGCCCTCGACCTCGCCGCCCCTAGCTACCTCTCCGTCTCCCCCACCCCCTGCCACTAGTTAGTACTAGATTTAGTAGTAGTAGATGTTAATTTAGGGTTAGCTAGTACTAGATGTTGCTTAGTTAGTACTAGATTTTTAGTAGTAGTATTGGTAGTTGAACTACTTTAGTTGTAGTTGAACTAGTTTAGTAAGTAAATTAATAAACTAGTTGAACTAGTTGAATTAACAGAACTAATCTATTTTTAGTAAGATAATTAATATAACTAGTTGAACTACTTTATTTTTAGAAAGAACTAGTTTTTTTTTCTATTTATAGTAAGTTTATATTTAGTAAGAACTAGTTGAATTAATAAAACTAGTTGAACATGTCATGTTTGTTGTTAGTGATAACTTATATGGTTTCAGGTGACCTCCGTCGTCCCCGTCACCGACCCCCTCCGACATCCCCGCCGTCGTCCCAGTCATCGATCCCCTCCGACATCAAGGTGAGACCAGCCAAATATCCTTGTATATCTTGTGTTGTTGCTCAAATTGGATGTGGTTGCCCAAGTGGCCATTCATGTTTCTCTGAGTGGCCTATGTTTTGCCGGAGTGTTGATGAATTTCCGTTCTGGCAAATTTCAGGCACTCGATATGTCCTTTTTTAGCAAAGGTCATGCCGGATTTTGTCGTGAATTCTGGCATGACTTGTGCTAGAATATGTACAAGTTTAATTTTTGAATTATGATTGTAGGAAATGTCATACTCGGACGACGACGGTCTCCCGGGGGAGTGTAGCTGGTGCCACGACGATCGAGGTATGTGTGACAGGTTCGTTCGGCTGGACGACGATCGGCGCTTCAGCATTAAGCTCGAGGAGACCTTCGATTGTGAAACGGTACGCAACAATGACAAGTGTTTTTTTCTCCATTAAGCATGACTTCAACTATTTCAATGTCTAATTTTCATATTTTACAATTCGACTAGCTTATCCCATGCCATGCAAGACGCTATGTCTTGGAGAGGATGGGTTTTGAAGACCATGAAAATTTCGAAACAAAGAAAATACACCTAAGGACCCATCATGATATGGATTTTGAAGTAAATCTGTACAATGCTCAGAGCGTAACCCATTTTGGTTGCCAAAATTGAGAAGCACTTTGCAAAATGTATGGTTTTTATGAGGGTATGATTGTCATCATGGATCTTGGTGATCCTGACAGCAAGGAAGACAATATGGACATTTGGGTCCTTGTTGATACGCTTCCGATTGTACCGCTATGTGAGTTTCTCAAACATAGTTATTAACTAATTTATATTGTTTATTTCAAAATAGTTGATAGCTTATTTCCATTGACAGCTTATTTTGATTCTTCAAAGACTGTGCGGAAGATGGTAGATAAAACCCACTACACCGAAGGCACCCAATTAACGTATAAGGAGAAAAATCATCTGATCGCATTTTGTACTCTTCTTGAGAATTACAATGACTATTATCGAACTCCTCCAAATTATGGTGAATACGTGCCACTAGTGCATGTGTTGAACAACGATAACTTCTCTGGAGATACCCTGGTAAGATTTTTTAATATTACGACATCCGTGCATTTTTTGCATACTTCTAAAACTAGCACATCATTGCTAACTACGAAGTTATTATTATGTTTTTCAACAGAAACTCCCGATGGATTGTGTGCCTCATCTGATGTCTCTGCATGGTCGCCTCTTAGTTCTGAACATACTGCCAGGTAAATCTACGGAGCTCACCTGTGCATATCGGATTTCTAAAACCCGTGAACACATGATCATCAGAGAATGGAAGAAATGTATGGACATTCGCAAGGAGGTTCTTGGAAGTAACATTCAGCGAAAGGCAAGAATGGGAGACAGGCTAATCTCCATTCTCCATAATGGAGAGTCAGGGGCTATCTTGTTTTTTGTTATTTTACCTTAGAAAATGTAGTAGGTCTTAATCGAATGTAATAGGTCCTATGAGGTACAATATGTTTATTATGTGGTAATGTGTTAGAGTTGATAATGATGATCTTGAGGAGGTGTTATGTGATGTCAATGATGAAAACGATGATATTGAGGAGGTGTTATATGACAATGATGTATTATGATGCTAAGTTGTTAATGATATGATGATGATGATGATATTATTATATCATTGGGTGAAAGAACCGCGGATTAGTTTCAAGTGGATGGACATCCACTTGAAACTAGTCCACGGTTCTTTCACCCCATGATGTAATAACTCATTATGATGTAAAAACAATCTCTAAATTCCTGTTGTATGAAAACTTGTGTAAAGGTGTATGAATACAACATGAAAAATAAAAGAAATAAAATACTAAATAATAGTAGTAGCGCGGGTAAGGAGAAGCGCTACTACTAATTACCAGTAGCGATGTTCTAAAGAACCGCTGCTACTATGTCAATTTAGCAGTAGCGTGGGTCAGGACGCGCTATTGCTAAGCATTAGCTGTAGCGCCTTATCAGTAGTGCTCCTGCCCGCGCTACTGATAGGCCCGAAACCCGTGCTGCTGCTAGGCTTTTCCCTAGTAGTGCTAGTAGACCTGCCGCTATTCACCTCAAATCTCGCCCCTAGCGAGAAAGCCGGCCTAACCGCCTAGATCCCATTCCAAAACGGCGAGCCCGAGGCCTTGGCATTAAACACATTCCCGTCCAGGAAGTATTTTGCCCGAAGCAGGTCCGCCCATAGACCCGCTTCGTTAGTAGCTAATTTCCACCACCATTTGGTAAGCAAGGCCACATTCATAAGTTTGGAATTATTAATCCCTAACCCTCCATATTTCTTAGGGCGGCACACCGCCGCCCATTTCAACATATGGTATTTCTTTTAAGCCCAGCTCCCTCCCAAAAGAATTTGGAGCGCGGGGTATCAAACTTCCCATGTACCCCATCTGCCAACAAGAACATACCCATCGTAAACAGAGGGAGGGAGGACAGAC